AAAAATCAATTTATGACATATTAAAAGACTAATTACTTTCACCCCAAATACTAATTAGTTGTAATTTTAAATTTTTTTAAATGTGCCTCTATCCGAGGTTTTGCCCGTTTGTCAGTAAGAAGTTTTTACTCATTTAAAACACAATAAAATTTAACATGCTCTCTTATTCTTTTATATATTTTAATATGCACACGTCAGAATAAGCATGTCGTTTGAATTTTTACATAAATATTGTGTTACACTGAACGTAACATTATTTCAACCAAATTGTAACATTTTATTCTCCAAAAATGTATTTGAAACCTTAAAAGTAGACACTTTACTTACATTTAATGTGCTTTCTATGGACATAAAATCACTTTTGTAAATTTCTTTTGATGCCCGTATATATTTCACTTTAAAATACTGTATTTCTATTCAGTGCTCTAAGAAGCCACAGTTTGCAGTGTTAATACAGTGCTTCATCTGTGTTTCTCCTTCTCTAGTTTTGCCGATCTCGTCTCTGGAGCCGGTGATTCTGCAGGAAGGCCAGTCGTTCTGCGTAGCTGCTTTCTGTCGCTCGGTTGGACACCCTCCGCCGCGTTTGTCCTGGGACACGGAGCTTCCCGGGCAGTCGCAGAACCGGACCGGAGAGGATGGAGTCGTAACCTCGCAGTTTTCCCTGCATCCGCTGCGCAGCATGAACAAGCGGCGCCTGGACTGTCTGGTGTGGCATCCGGCTCTCAACGGCCCGCACAGAATCAGCAACGAGCTCGTGGTGCACTGTGAGTTATCCTAAAACACATCACCCAAACATAAAGAAGCTGTGTGACTTCACACAAAAAGAATGCTGCATAACACAAAAAGAAACATTTTGCGGAATGTTCATGCTGCTTTTTTCTTTGAGATGGTGTAGTTTGTTCATATTTAGAATTAAAGTTTATTTTTCTGTTTTGTTTTCATTTTAAATTGTAGTTAATTAATTAATGAATTTTATTTTAATGTTCGATTTTTTTTTAAAGCAATGAATTTTTTAATGGTTTTAGTTAACGATAATAACCCTGATACCGTGTTATTTTTGTATCGGTGAAATACCGTTATAGATTTTATTAATAGTTTGCATTATTTTTATTTTTATATTTTTTTTTATTGTAATTTTTTTGTTTGTTTTATTAGTTTTTTTCATGTCTATATAGTTTTTATTTTTTATTTCAGTTTTAGTTATTTTAGTACATCAAGTTAAACTAAATGATTAACGAGAAATGTTTGTTAATGAGAAATTAAAATAAGGTTATTTTTTTTAAATATTTTATTTATGTTATTTATGTCAATTAATGTTCATTATTTTATTTCAAGGTAATTAATGAATTTTATTTTAATGTTCGATTTTTTTTTAAAGCAATGAATTTTTTAATGGTTTTAGTTAACGATAATAACCCTGATACCGTGTTATTTTTGTATCGGTGAAATACCGTTATAGATTTTATTAATAGTTTGCATTATTTTTATTTTTATATATTTTTTTATTGTAATTTTTTTGTTTGTTTTATTAGTTTTTTTCATGTCTATAGTTTTTATTTTTTATTTCAGTTTTAGTTATTTTAGTACATCAAGTTAAACTAAATGATTAACGAGAAATGTTTGTTAATGAGAAATTAAAATAAGGTTATTTTTTAAAAATATTTTATTTGTTATTTATGTCAATTAATGTTCATTATTTTATTTCAAGGTAATAATGATAAAGTATTATTTCAGTATCAACAAAATACTATTAAATAGTCTTAATTAATAATTTGAATTAGTTTCTATTTTTTATTTTAATTTTTGATAAGGTTTCAATTTTGTTAGTTTATTTTTTAATACGTCTATGTAGTTTAGTTTGAGTTTATTTGAAAATGAAATGATAAATGTTTCCTTGGGAACTAGCTGAATGAAAATACTTTTTTTAGTTAATATTATTGTATTTCAGTTAATGTTCATTTTATTTCAGGTGATAAAAATATTTTTTTATTTTGTTCTGTTAATTTTGTTTTGATTATGTGTTTGTTGAGTCGTTTATTTTTATTCTCTCAATCTCTATATTTACTTTATTTGTATATGTACAGCACTTTGGCATACACTAGCTGTTTTTAAATGTGCTATATAAATAAATTGACCTTGACCTTGACCTTAATGATGATCATGTCCCTGATATGACCCTGTGTTTGTGCTTCAGTTCCTCCTGATGCAGTGATTGCTGATTCTGGCTCCTGGAGAATAGGACACTCAGGATCAGAGCTCCGATGTGTGGTTAAAGGAAACCCGCTGCCGCAAAACGTCACATGGAGCAGGTGACAGTTTCACAGAGCCAGACTGTGGATGATCTGCAGTTTATTCTGACCTAAAACCACCTCTTTGCACAGAAAGATTCAGTCTGACTGATGTGTGAAGTGACTAACCACAGTTAGCTTTGTTTTTACCTGTTGTTTTGGGGCAGATGAGCATCTGAGATAGACTAAACCACAATAATAGACTGGCATGGAGAAAAAGACATTCAAATAAAACACAAAAATATATGAAGAGTTCATTTGCAAAAACGGAATTCTCAGAAATCATGTTTTTTCGTTGTGCGTTCCAATTAATCTCTATCAAACTGCAGTTGGGTTATTTTGACTAGGTTAAAAAATAACAAAAAAAAACAGCTGACTAACACAATAAAAACATGATAACATAATAAAAAAACATGAGTTATCTGTTTTTGCAAATAAACTCTTCATATGTAGAATTTGTGATCAGATTTCTGTCCACCCCAAAAATGCTCAATATACAGTTCTGATCATTAAAAATCTTTTTACTAAATGCCTGAATGTCATTTAGTGCCACAAACTATAACTAGTTCTTCATCAGCACTCATTGCATCAGTCTAGTTTAATGCAGGTGAGCTTATGACTGGGTGATTATATGCAGCATTCACAATATTCTTGTGATTTTGCTGGCAGTTTAAAATTAAGCAGCTTTGTGAATACAATTACAATGATTTTAATTTGCCTTTTATTTGGCCAATAAGTTCCCTAAATGTTGCCGATTATGTTATGCATTGTTAATTTGGTGCATATAAATTAAAATAATTAAATTAAGTTAATCTTTGTGTTCATGTAGAGAAAACAGTTTAGTATTTAGTATTTATCTTTATTATTTCAATATTGCGATTTATTTATCTTATCTTATTATATTATTTTTAGCATTGGTATTTAATATTTGTTTTAATATTTGATAATATTTTAGTATTCAAATTAATTTTTTTGATGTATTTATTTTTTACCATTTAACTATTTTTACTCTTAGTATTTATTTGAGTATTCAATATTTATTTTTACAATTTTACTATTTTTAGTATTAGTATTTAGTATTTATTTTAGTATTCAGTATTTATTTTTACTGTTTTATGATTTTACTATTTTTAGTATTAATATTTACTTTTTTTTTTGCTGTTTTACTGTTTTTAATATTAGTATTTAGTGTTTGTTTTAATATTTATTTTTTACTATTTTAGTATTAGTGTTTATTTTTATAGTTTTACTATTTTAGGATTAGGCTTTAGTATTAATATTTAATATTTATTTATTTTATTGCTATTTTACTGATTTTAATATTAGTATTTAGTGTTTGTTTTAATATTTATTTTTTACTATTTTAGTATTTTCTATTTATTATTTTACTGTTTTTAGTATAACTATTTAGTATTTATTTTTTAGTGTTTAGCATATTTTAGATATTTTTAGCTCCATATTACTCCGCCTTAACTGACTCCTGGAGATTAACACAGCCAATCAGATCAGAGGTTGTGATTTTGGCAAATACTCTGATGTTTGTGTGTCGTATTCATCAGTCTGTAGGCGTGACTGTGAACCACAGGCCTGTTTATTAGTCGATTACGCTGTTGTCTGTCAGTTCACTCACCGCAGTTATTCAAACTTGGCACGCTTTATTTGCATGAGCATCGAACTGAACTAGCGACATTGCAAAATCCCTACAAAAACTCTAGTTTTCCACCCCTTCTCCCTTTGTTTCTCTTTATTTTCCTCTTCCTTTCGTTCTCTTTAACACACGATCACAAAGGCCTCTGAACTGCAGCGATGCATATTCACATGCTCCTTTCAGGATCAAATAAAAGCTTCAGTGTCGCGTTGCAACCTGAGAGCATAGAGCCAAAAAGGGTGCTTTTCATGCACGGGACAGTAAAGAAAGAGAACGAGAGAGAGAGAAAAAGAACAGGATGCTAAATGATGAGGGTGGGGTGTATCGAGACACATGCTAAGCCCTAAATAACCCTCCTGTCCTGTAATGATTGTTTTAACCGGCACAGAAAAGCAGACTTTGCACTGGATTAAAGATGCAGCGTTGAATGCATCCAGTGTGCGTCGTCATGCATGCTTCTCCAGACGTGAACAAGTCCTCAGATCATGCGTGTTGGTGCTTTATTAAGGTTGCATGGTGTGTCGGTCATATTTGCATGCATACAGTTGCTGAAAAGGTGCTTTAATTCAGGTAGTGCTGGAGAATGAACTGGCAACAGCGTCCAGGAGTCACATGATACTCGGATGATAATTACAGCGAAGGTCCGAAACCTGAGATGTGTTTAATGTGGTGTTTGGCGTCGCTGCAGCCGTGTGATGATGTGGGGTATCGGCCGGAGGAATGCAGTGTGTGTGTGTGTGTGTGTCGGTATCGGGGTGTGTCCTGATTCACATCTGAGAGGTCTGAGGGGTTACAGTCACCTAAAGTAGATTAAACACTGACACTGATGGAGGAAGGGGAAAAACAGCCGTCGTGCACATTTAAACTGAAGCATGTGTCTTGCAAATGCAGTCTTTCAAAAAGTGATTTTCTTTCTGTGTGTTCATTTTGCTTTTCCAGTACAAATATATGAACATTCTTAAATCAAGATGTAGATCCAAAATAATATGCATAATATTTTAAGTCGTCTTTTCTGAAGTGTTTCAAAACGTTAATTGTTAAAATGTCTCTTCTGCTCACCAAAGCTGCTTTTATTTGATCAAGATACAGTAAAAACAGTTAAATATTATTACAGTTTAAAATATTTTTTATTATGCAAATGTGAAAAAAATGTAACATTTCTATAATGCAATGCAGAATTTTTCTTTGTTAAAAGAAGTCTCCTCTTCTCAACAAGGCTGCATTTATTTGATCAAAAATACAGTAAAAATGTTAAATATATTACAATTTAAAATAGCTGTTTTCTATGTGAATATCTGTTAAACTGTAATTTATTTCTGTGATGCGCAGCTGTATTTTCAGCATCATTACTCCAGTCTTCAGTGTCACATGATCTTCAGAAATCATTCTAATATGCTGATTTACTGCTCAAGAAACATTTCTGATTATTATCAATGTTGAAAACAGTTGTGCTGCACAATAAGTTTTGTGGAAACCACTGCAATTCAAAAGAAAAAAAAACAAAAAACAAATGTTATTCGGAAAGTACTCATTAAATTTATCAAAAGTGCCAGTAAAGACTTTTATAATGTTACAAAAGGTTTCTATTTCAAATAAATGCTGTTCTTTTGAATTTTCTATTCATCAAAGAATCCTGCAACAAAATAAAATGCATCGTGGTTTCCACAAATATTGGCCAGCACAACTGTTTTCAGCATTGATACCCCTGAAGACTGCAGTAATGATGCTAAAAATTCAGCTTTCATCACAGCAATCAATTACATTTTAACAGATATTAACATAGAAAACAGTTATGTTAATATTATATATTATATATTAATTTTTTATTGTTAAATCTAGTAAATAAATTAGACTATAAAGGGTTTCTGACATATCTAATAGTTTAGAAATGTGCCCTTTGTTCTTTAAAAAGTCATCAGTTGAACTCTATCAGTGAACGGCACAGACAACTGCATCCACTGACGTCTGTCTGTCTGTCTGTCTGTCTCTCTGTCTGTGTGTCTGTCTCTCTGTCTGTCTGTCTCTCTGTCTGTGTGTGTTCAGGAAGGACGGCCGTCTGCCAGCAGGAGTGTTGGTTAAGGAGGACAGACTGATGTTCGTTAGGCCTCTGAACGTGACGGATGAAGGCGTGTACATCTGCCAGACAGCTAACAGCGCGGGAATCGCTAAAGCAGAGTTTAAAGTGGAGATCGGAAGTAGGTGTTTAATCTACTGAAGAAACAAATGACACAAGGCCCGATCGTCACACTGACCGATGAACTCAACCGTATGAGTTTCCCCACAAACTTCT